AATAATATATATATGTTTATTAATAATTCATAATCTAACTTATTAATAATTTAAATAAAAAATAATAAAATAATAAAATTAATTAATAATTTAAATAGGGAAAAAAATAAAAACAACAAAATGATGGGATAGATTTAGGGGTGCCATTGATAAACCTTAGGGGTGCCATTAGTCCACCCAATAACATGTGAAGTCAAATATTGTGAAAATATAAAGTAGAGGGGGTTGCTCCCTCCTACAATCTACTCATAGTCTCGTAGGCTCTTCAATAAGTCAATAACTAATCTTAATTTTAGTTTTACAAATTGTAACTTATAATTGGTTATCCAATTTACTTTATATTATTTTTATTTTATTTTACACTGTCATTATATTAAAATACATGATCATCTATTAACTAAAATATTTTTTTAACAAATTACATCATTATAATTGTCTTGTTAATACCCTCAAAATAAGTCAAATATTAAATATTTTTGAATTTAATTATATATATATATATATATATAGCAAATATAACAAAAGTGTTTTTAATATTTACACTTTATATTCTTATAGTTATTTATTTAAGTTCTTTTGTATCATTTATTTTTTTCATTTTACAACTTTATTTTATTAACACATATAATCATATAATAACTAAAATACATTAAAAATTGCGTTATTTTTTTATTATAAATTACATTATTATAATCGTCTTGTCAGTACCTTCAAAATGAGTCCAACATTGAATATTTTTTAATTTAATCATATTATTAGATTTAGATATCATATATATAAAAAATTTACAAATTATTTTTAGTATTTACATTTTATATTTTTATAGTTATTTATTTAATTTGTTCTTTATTCACTACCTTTTCATTTTAAAGTATTATTATATTAACATACATTAGTTAAAATATATTAAAAAATATATTTTCTTAATTACACCGTTATAATGGTCCTATAAATACGTTTAAAATAAGCCTAATATTGAATATTTTTTAACTAATAATATTATTACATACCGTAAATAAGTAAAATACGCAAGTTCTGCAACGTGGAAAGTATAACGTGATCTTACACGTTCTCGATACCAAGTTCTGCAACGTACAAAGTATAACGTGATCTTACACGTTCTCAATACGCAAGTTCTGCAACGTACTTATCATCGACCTACAAAACCGCCGTCTTCTTTTGCTATGTAGACTTTTGCCTTACTTACACTCTTTCTCTAGATCTCGATGATTCATATATGAAGCTACAACCTTCCAACCCCTTTTATAGTCAATCTCGGGCGTCAGTTTCCCAATCTTTCGACTGCCTTCATAATTCTTGTGATTTAGTAATGTAATCACAATTACGCGTCACTTTTTCGTTTTTTGAGATTCAAATGAAAGTGGTTTAATCGAGGGTTACAAGAACTCGTCAACTTTCCTTGGTTTGGCACCTTGACGAAATAACTTCCTCTGTTTTTCCATTTGATATGTCTGCCCATTGATTTAATTGAAACAGTAAAATATAATATTTTTAAGTTGTTATTGCAATCGTTCCCTCGACATGTGGCTACTGCAATAGGGACGTTAAATGGTAACCGTTACGTAAGATGGTATGAACTGGAGAGAACCCAATGCTCACAATTACGGCACAATAACAACATCAAAGATTGTCCAATACAGAATACCTTATATTATTAACTAGAAGGGTACTTGCGCAATGCAACGAGATACATCTTGATTTTAATACTGTATTTTATTCTTTATCTAAGTCGATGTTATAATATGATCTTATATGATTTTGAGAAAGCGATGATATTTTAATTTTTGAACAAAATATAAAATTGAGATATCATAAGAATTTGACAAAAATATATCGATATTAGTATCAAATTAACTATTTAAAAATTCCTCATTTTTTGTGAAATTTTTTAATTCAATTTTTTTATTATAATTTAATTTAGGTACAATAACGAAGTAATTTATACTTGGTTTAATAATATAATTTTCCTATAAAGATAATAATTAATTATTCTGTTATAACTCGATAATTATCCTAATTATATTTTAGATTTTTTATATTTTAAAATCAGATGTTTATCTTCTATTTGATTATGTTAATCCACAGTTAATTATACGAATTTAAACATCGAGTTTTAATAAATTGTATTTATGCATAATTTACTTGTAATCTTGAATTTTAAGTAATATGCATCAATATATAGTATTTTATGCAATGGTTTTTAAGAGTTTCTGTCGAATGCTTTATAATATAGTATAGATTAATTAAGGTGATTATGGTTTAAAATAAAAAAAAGGTAAAATGCACAAAATAACAATCTACTTTCATAAATTTGTTTATTATAGCATTGTACTTTCATTTTTTCTTATTATAGCAATGTACTTTCAAACTATTTTTTATTAGAACATTGTATTTTGAAAAATCTACCCATTGTATCATTGGGCAACATTTTGATTTAAATTTACCCATTATACTAGGTTTTCATGTCAGCTCATTGTCTACGTAGACTGTCCACATGTACCATAGTGATGTGACTTTCTTACTACAACATTGTACTTTCAAAATTATTTTATTATAGCATATACTAGTTTTTATTGAACACTGTATTTTTAATTTTAATATTTAGATATTTTACATGTTATTTAATAAATGTATTAAATGAATTAAAAAAATTCTAAATTATTCATTAATATACTAATATCAATAAAGCTAATAGAACACAACTTATCTCGCTAATATTT